TAATTTCTTTTCAATCTGACTAATTCTTTCTTTGTATAATCTAAAATATTTGACAGCATGTTGTATTATATCTATTAATGACTACAAAATAAAACAATTTTTGATTATAATTATTGATTACAATTATCAAGTATTAACAACATACTGTTCTTTTATATCAACAAATTGCTTCTCAAGCTCACTCATTTCCTGCACACATTGCAACCGTCTTTTCTCATTTTCAATCTCATCACCTGAAGCAGACAATCAACAAGAATTACAATATTATTGTCCATTAACAAATCATGCATAATCCTAATAAAAAGAGGGCTATTCCTGCTAGCTGCATTACAACACTGCAGACTAATTTGATGGTTGCAGTTCCATTGATCCATTTACACAGGACTCATGAAAGGGGGGAATTCAAGCTCTACAAATTCCAGGGTGAAAAAATGGGATCCAGACAAATTTGGTATAATTCTGAATTTTTGTGGTCCCTCAAGGCCCATCCATACATTTATGGTCATGTATGATTGTCATTCTGGCATATGAAAGCAACAGCTGACACCACTATTGACAATGGGTCGTTCTACACAGCTCATCAGGTTGTTGCAATATTGATGAAAACAGGATTGAACAATGTTGTGCGGCCCACATTGTAAACAGTTGTCAACAATATTGAACAATATTGTTACACCCGATTCAGGCTCAATATTGTTGACAAGTGTGAACAATGTGGGCCACACAACATTCAAACATTGTTCAATCCTGTTAAAGAGCAGACTCATTATTTTTATGCATGTAGAAAAGATTCACACTCCTCCCACGGAGGAAATTTCTGGGGGAGAGAAAAATTTGTTTCTGATAATAGTAACTGTATTAGGTCACCCAAAGGGGGTAGGGGGGGTAACCAATTTCCTCTGTGGGGGAGGTATCTATGTTTTCTGGAATGACCAATATTCCTCTTCTGAAATCCATTTATGTGGCAAAATTTGAAATGCAACATCTTCACACATATTTATTTGAACACATACACCTGGGTAATAATCATATACAACTAGTTGTATTGTGTTGATGGGCCTTTAATAATTTAAAAAACCTTTGGAATTTACCAAACCGCTATATAATATTACTCCAGTTCAAATAGAGCTCAGTAAGCTGATAAATACAAAATCTCTCAAATGTCATAGAAACATCGAACGAACGCACATTCCACCACCTTATACGACTACTAAACAAATCAAACATACCCTAAAAACAAAATACTCTAGACTACGCATCTTAAACAACATATTTGAAGAAAACGGACCTGAACTAGACGATTCTTCCGAGCCAGACGAACTCCCATCATCATTGTCATCATCGTCGCTCATATTTTCATCAGCTGTCATGTTTCGCGTTATTTCATCTTCACCACTCTCTTCGCCGTCATTTTCAGGCATTTTAAAACAAGATTTCTTCAAACTAAGTCGAAAATACGATCAAAAATCTTCAAAATCTCGCGCATAAACAACTTCCAGCGAGAAATTTGAGTTCAGAAATGAACCAGCGATCCTTGTTGTATGCAGCATATCGAGTAAGTGACATGCGCTATGATTTTTGACACTGATCTCTATATATTTGAAGTTTATGTGTTTCCACTTCACTTCTACAGTTTTCCTCTGTAAGGAAGCGCAGATTACCGGTGAAGCTAGCCTCCTCAGCAGGCATCGCCTTTAGATTATCGGAGGCAAAAAAATTAATAGCGGCGATCTCACCAACTTTCCGAAGTACGTGAACTACGAGATGCCTGCGGAGGAGGCTAGGGTGAAGCATGTGAAGCATTAGATATTCTGGGAGGGGGAGGGGAAATTTTTCCTGCAACAATTTTTTTTCGAGCTCAAAGCTGTGTCGGAATTTTTTTCGGAGTACAAGCTGTGCAAGAATTTTTTTGAAAGGCTTTTTCTCTGTCTACCGGATCACCGGATAGAGAAAAAATGGTGGACATGTAGCCAAGTAATATAACTATATTGGCGCGAAATTTCCGTATTCAGAGCAAGTTTAGATTCACACTGCGTTACTACTGAGTTATTAATTAACTTTATTTTGCCGTGACTTTTTATTTTGCTTTGAGTTAATTTCGTTTTCCCGTGAGTTTATTTTGTCTATTTTGTTTTGCCGTTGCAGTTAATTTTATTTTGCCATGGTTGGCACTGTTACTTTCGCTGTGACACTTGTGGGCCACATTATTTTATAGCGCCTGGGGAAACTACTGGGGGGGGGACCCATTCCAAGCATGGTGGGATTAACGGATCACTTCATTTAGCCAATCAGATTACGAGATTTTTTGGATCGTGATCTGATTGGTTAAAATGAAAGCGGACCAGAAAGTAGACGGGTACCTACAAAATGGCGAAATAGCTGGTATCCTGGCGTGAAACTTTAATTAATTAAATTTAATAGTAAGTTTTTAGTTGTGTTTTTAAATTTGATATGACATAAACAAGTAGTAAAATAAGATACCTTTTTATAAGTTAGATAAAAAGCACAAAACACATTGCTAACTTTTTTAGTCGCAATTTAATTGATCGGTAAATTAGAAGATCTGTTTTATAATATATCGAAGGGTATTAAAGTTTATTGAGTTACTACAGAAGCCCATAGGCGACAGCATAAAACCACTTTTGTGTTTTACATTTTTGTGTTTTACATTTTTGTCAGTTTATATTTTGTATTTTTAAAAAGAAAAGTGCCTCGTCAGTCCATACTTCCCGACTTTGCTAGCCCGTATCGCCGTATCGGTCAAGTCCGTCTCGTGCTAGCCGCTAGAATATGAGGGGTTATCACTATCAAAAATAACTCTTGATCGTGTGGGAAGTTGATTGGGCCGTAAATCAAATTCAGTCGTAAAGTTTCATTGCCCGTAACGTACGTCTTTACATCGTAATTCAAAATGTTTCGTAATTAACGTGATACTTCGGGTCGTAATTATCGTGATACTTCGGCTCGTAATTAACGTGATACTTCGGCTCGTAAATAACGTGATACTTCGGCTCGTAAATAACGTGATACTTCGGCTCGTAAATAACGTGATACTTCGGCTCGTAATTAACGTGATACTTCGGCTCGTAATTAACGTGATACTTCGGCTCGTAATTAACGTGATACTTCGGCTCGTAATTAACGTGATACTTCGGCTCGTAATTAATGTGATACTTCGGCTCGTAATTAAATTATCCTGATGCGAGGTTGATATTAATACTTTGGGTAAGGCCCTAAGGAGGGGTAAGGAGGCCTAATGAGGGCTAAGGAGCCCTAAGGAGGCCTAAGGAGGGCTAAGGAGCCCTAAGGATGCCTAGGGAGGCCTAAGGAGGGCTAAGGGAGCCCTAAGGAGGAATAAGGATGCCTATTCATAGTTAGATGAAGCAACACTTTTAATATAGACAATAAAAAATTTTGTTGCCATTGTCCTTTAAGCACGGAAAATATTACAATATTTCGTCCAGTTTGAAGTTACTTAATACGGTTGACCTTTGGTTGACCTTTTAGTTTGCCAACAGCCAAACGCCAAACGGCTCAACTTCTACCGCTGGCAGCACGGATTGTGTTTCGTGTATCCCAGAAGCGTTTGCAGGGTTGAAAAATATACATCGTGGCGATCATTTTGGCACCAAGTACAACTTACTGCGAGTGATATTTCGCCTTCGATTTAGCTTTTAAACGCACTAAAATTTGCGGCGATGCGACCAAATATTAACAGCGCATAATATTCTAAGTGTCTACGAAAATTCATGATATTTGGTGGTATAAATACGAAAAACTTCTCCAATGTTTTATGTGCCCAATTTTTGTGAGCAGCTGGCGAGGATCCTCAAGGTTGGTGTTCCATTTGAGCAAATCACATAGCAGTCACAGAAATTTAAAGATTGAACAATGAAACTCGGTAATCGAGCGGATTTCGGCCGAGTTAGTATGCTAGTCTATAGTCGTAAAGCGTTCAGAAGATGAATCTCGAAACGAACAACTCAATATTAAAGGTTTTAACTATTATTTTTTCGACAGTGCTGTTTGTATGCGATGTAGGAATACTACTCGAAATATCTTTTTGTCAATTCGATGTTTTTAGTTTGACTCCTACGTATTTTATATATTTCTTTGCCTAAGATATATTGGCTTTTACGGAGGTATCCGCTGGCGCACTGCCGACTCAATGTCCGAAATAGTTGGCGATGACTTTATTCATAACAAAATACCAATACTGGTACATAATGAATACATTAGGCCACATAAAAAAAATTACTTGTTTAGCGTCCCCGCCCGACCTGATAAAAGTCCCCGACCTCCAATTTTTTAAATTTTTTTTTTAAAATCCGTCCGAGTTTAGTGCAAAAACTCTCTATAAAAAAGACCGTTTTACTTGAAAAAATGGTGATTTTATTCTTCTGGGAGCTATGTAATACGTTTACTCCTTCCTCGCAGCTAAAGTGTTCGCGCGTGACCGCCAAACGGTAATCATTTCTGTTTTATTAAAAACATGAACGGTATTAAAAACATGAACGGATTTTGAAAGAATTAAAGTGAGTTTTGACTGTGGTAATATACTGGATTTCCTGCATTTAGCAGAATTTTGTGTTGCATTTTACGGAAAAAAAAAAAAAAATCCGCCCGCCCGACCTAGGAAAATTAAAATGGGTGGACGCTAAACAAGTAATTTTTTTATGTGGCCTTACATTGTGTAAAAATATTAAATCACAAAATCGTTAACTAGTATACTATAACTTAAGAGGATATATAAAATACTGAATTATTTTATAGTTGTTCAACGTTAGTACATCAAAGCAATATTTAGCTACCAAATTATTGATGGATTTGTCTTTCATTATCAAATTTATTATTGATTATTTGTTGGATTGATGGATTCGTCTTTCATTATCTTAAGTAATCTTTTCCGTCGGTATCCTTGCGTGAGTATTGGACATGTATGTAGTAAATACAGTTATCAATAAGTGTCCTGTTCTTCGCTACAAAGCTGGGAAATCGTTTTATAGTCTAATACGATTTGACTGAAAAGTTGGATATGTATCAAGGCTATCACTATCGCCGATTATGTTGCTTTGGAAGGAAATCTTATCGCCGTACTGCTGCATTCCGAACACATACTGCCACACCACAACCGTCTTTCCCGCTTGAACATTAATACTTGCAGTTTCTTCATATTCCTCTGACCAAGTGTTGCTATTTACCTTCTGGACAAACTCCAAGTATTCAGCCTTGGCCGTGAAGACTTTAATGGCAAGCTCCGACGAAACTTTCCAAGAATACCCCGCTGTAGTCGACGTACTCTGCGTTCTTCCTACTTTGTATTTTTGTGTGTAGGTGTGCGTTGCCAACGGTTTGATGAAAGCCTTTACCAATTCCCAGGACCCGCTGAGGCTTGGATCTGGATATGGGGACATTTTTGTGCCATTCAAATCGCCAAAATAGAATTTGGCAGCATAGTGCGCGTCAGAGTGTAGAACGCACAGTGTGTCGTTGCCAGGATTGGGTGCTCCTCCTTCAGGATGCCAGATCTTTCCTCCTTTATGCACAATGCGTTCACCTCCTTCATCAAATGCAAAGAGGGCGCCTCCATGGCGATCAGAATGATAGACTAGGTGGGTGTTTTCTCCACAATCTAATCGACCATCTTGAGGATGCACAATCTTACCACTCGATACATGCTGAATATAGCCAAAATGCCCAGATCCTTCAGCTGGTACGAACCTAACTTGGAGCCGGCCGGCATTGCTCCTGTCATCATACAGGACTAACGAGGTGTTATTCCCTGGATCAGAGGAACCTCCTTTAGGATGAACGAGTTTACCCGACGATCGGTGGAATAGATATCCAATAGGTCCGGCCATCTAAAAAATTTGCAGTTGGTTGTTTTTCGTGTCGATTGCTTGAATGACTAGCCGGTATGATGTGGTACTGCGTGACAACTGCATTTATACACCAGCATCGATTTGATTTGACGTCAATGGCACCTGATATTTATATATAGTTAAATTTAGAATATTACACTAGGTCGGTCAGGGTGGCAAGTTGTACCAAGGGGTACCAGCACTACGGTGGCCGATAAGGGCCACCTCTGCTGCATGGAAACGCGACTGTGCTGCATGGAAATGCAACGGTGCTGCAAGGAAACACGACTGTGCTGCATGGAAACACGACTGTGCTGCATGGAAACACAACTGTGCTGCATGGAAATGCGACTGTGCTGCATGGAAACGCGACTGTGCTGCATGGACATGCGACTGTGCTGCATGGGACATGCGACTGTGCTGCATGGGACATGCGACTGTGCTGCATGGACATGCGACTGTGCTGCATGGGACATGCGACTGTGCTGCATGGACATGCGACTGTGCTGCATGGGACATGCGACTGTGCTGCATGGACATGCGACTGTGCTGCATGGGACATGCGACTGTGCTGCATGGGACATGCGACTGTGCTGCATGGGACATGCGACTGTGCTGCATGGACATGCGACTGTGCTGCATGGGACATGCGACTGTGCTGCATGGATATGCGACTGTGCTGCAAGGAAATGCAATAAACATTGTTTTCCAAATATAGAAAACACCCCCCCCCCCCGGCTAGAATTAGTTTATTCAACGATCCGCTCTACAGTTTCAGATTCCAGATTCAAATTCATATTCAGATTTGAATCTGAAACGGGGTCAATTGTCGCGTATAAAATGTGGAATTGCTCTGTCTCTTTTCACGAAATAAACGTAATTCGTCAAGGACATCCATCTTCAGACAATTGTGCATTTGACCAGATTTGACAAAACTATATTTTAGTTTTTAGCTCATAATGTGAAGCCATTTCCCTAATTTCTGAAAGACATTCATTAGTACACTATAGTAAATGGTATAAAGAAAACTAGGTCTTAAAAACGTTACTTGTTTTGTCAGGAAAAATCGCAAATCATAGATCATGAGATACGTCTTTTGTAACGTGAAGCGAACGTCAACAACGCAGCTGAGAGAATAAACACTTCTCACGCGTCGCACGCTCACTTTGGAATATTCGTCTGCGAAAGACATTCATCTACAACTATCACAATATGATACAACGCAGTTGTTATTTTCAAACAGCTTGTTGTTTTGGCAGGAAAAATCGCAATTAACCTGTGAAATGGACCTCGTGTTTTAAATAAAGATGTCAATCAATCAATCAATCAATCAATACACAACCGCTGTTGGAATCGAAAATCCGGGCGGGAATTAAGACTTTCATCACAGTTCATTTAGTCTCATATAAGCGAAGTTTCGTTTGCCTTCGCAGTGAATCTTCACCAGTTGACTGTAAATTATGGTCAAGTTTAAAATACTCTAAAATTAGGCAAATATTTCTCGTGGAAAAAGGGCTTGGAATCGTTCTTTGGAAGAACGATAGGATATCAACCCCCCGGATTTTATTGTTTCAGATTCAAATTTCATAATAACAATCTCAGTGCGTATAATATAACAATCTTTTGCGATTTTTCCTGCGCATATGCGTTGCCGAATCGCAATAAGAACCAGACAGAATGAAGCGCACAATAATGTAGATGAATGTCCTTCTTTGCGGTATCTGCTGGTTTAATACAGTTGCTGTGGTTGAAGGATTTACGCAGACTAACGCTGTTTCAGCTCGAATCTGAAACTGAATCTGAATCTACATGAAATTTGAATCTTAAACATTAAAATCCGGGGGTGTTTGAATTCCCGTCGTCCTTCCCTAACACGATTCCAACCTCTTTTCTGCGAAAAGTACAGACAGTACAGGGCCGTTTTTGAACATATCAACATTTAATCACAATTCCTAGTCAGCTAGTGAACATTTGTTGTGAAAACAAATTATACTTGGTCAGTATATCAGTCTAAACGAACTTTTGGGAAAGTATTAATGCCCGCCCGGATTTTTGAATTCAACACAGGTTGTGTTTTGCGAATTTTCCTGCCCAAACAACAAGTTGTTCGACGATAAAATATGCGTTATAAGATTCTATGATAGTCGTAGATGAATGTCTTTTGCAAAAGAATCTTGCAAATTTAAAACATGCCGCGTAAGAAACATTTCTTCGGTTCACTTTGCAGTTGACCTTTGCTTCAGGTTGTAAAATCTACAACTCGTCTGTTGTGTTTTTCGATTTTTCCTGAGCTACACAAAAGTGTTTCAAACTCTTACACTTCTTCATATCATCGGATTTAATGCATTAAAAGATGTCCTCCTTGAAAAGGTTTGATAACGCGCCTTTATCTATTAAAAAATGAGGACTAATACAACAACAAC